CCCAAACAGTCTGAAACCTTGCGTCACCAATATTCTTTTCTGTTTCTTATGCTGAAAGAGAATAAGACAATATTGCTGCTGTGGTAAAAACAACATCAGACAGATAGGACCTTGGCATCAGGGTTTAAACATAGACAGAGCTTCACCCTCTTATGTCCAAATTGCACCTTGCCGGAGTGCAACCTTTGTTTTAATGTCCCAAAATTTAGTACAAGATTAAAAATGACAAGTTTAATAAAGGGTCTGATTTGTACGAAAAATTATGTTTTCCTGTTTTCATTAGTATCTCTGACCAGACATTCATTCCTCAAGTGGGTGAGATTTTCCTGAATGAAACATTGATTTCTCTCCCATGTTTTGTATCATGATTTATTTCACTTATGGTTTTGCTGCCTAAACTTCATTTAGTAACTAGACTGTCATAGAGGTAAGATGTATGTAAGAAGCAATCTGTGAACAACTTGATGTTTAATGCATTTTTACAGGGACATTACAAATAAATAAGCATGAATATTACTAGTAGTGATAAGTTGTTTTGATACATTTTTACGTTTCATTTGCATGTTTACATTTTTTAGTTTAGTGGCAATACAACATGCTGACAAGTGAACATACTGCATTTTTAAAATTGTGATCATAATTACACATGATAACTAATAAACTAATGTTCAAAGTGGCTTATTCAGGACACCCCCCCCAACCTTACAGAGCCCCTTCTCCTCCTCTCTGATTCTGATTTAATTCCTCTTTAGCTCCATCGGCATTAATCCAACTCAGCAGGATTTCATGGCCTTTAACTGTCTTTAATTTGCTCCTTTTCCTTGCCACATCCTCCACCTTGTAGTATGCGAACCAGAAACTTCCTTTATGCAAGCTTTAAGTGTTGTTGACTTTCACTCAACTGTAATAGTAAACTCGAACTGATTCAGAAAATCCCACCAAATTAATCAGCGGAGGAGTTCTGTTGTCAAGTCTCTCGGCCAACTTGGCAAGAAAAAGCAAACAAAACACAGGCCTGGAACATCTGCCCACAAACATATATTAAGACGGCTGGTCTGGGCTTCCCGATTTCCCATTTTCTTTGGTTCATTTCATCAGTTGCAGTTTTCATCTCATGAGTGTTTCTGCCAATATGTGGTCTGCTGTCTCGTGTGGCTGCGTGGACGCTCACAGCACTGATCATTGTTATGGTCCAACCTAATTCACTGCACATCATATAAAGGAACTGCAGAGGGCTTCTTTTCCAGTGAAGCCATGATGTCAGTCATTACAGTCCATGTCATTTCCTACATGTCATCTAGTTTATAAGCCACTGATTAGAGCTCAAAATCGGCAGAAATAGCAAAAATACATTTTTAGATAAAGGTCTTTCAGAAAGTTTGCCTGAAATGTAACTCTAAACAGACCTATTAAAAGCACAAATGAAAAATCAAATATTTGTGAAGAGAGGAAGGAAAAGGGAGGTATCTTAAAACTTTAAAGAATAAACAGATAAGAATCACCAAGAACTGTGATAAATAAATCTGGTGCGTCATGATGTCAGATAGCTGCAGTTCCTGGGGAAAAATTATATTTTCCAGTGAAACCTCTTTATCTAGGATCACAAAACAAATTTGTTGGCCAGAATAACTCTTTGTAAGCGTTGGACCATACAATGGCTCAAGATCTAATTCAGTGGGATGAAGTCTTATAGACCAGGAAGTAAGGATAGGTGTCAAAGCTGAGTCACATAAAGGTCTCTTGCCATCCAGGGTGTTCCCCACCCCTGTGCCATGTTCTGCATCAGGAAGATTGAGACAACATTAGCATTCCTCTGAAGAAATCCTCCAAAGTTTAATCTCATGACAACAACCGCTACAAATGTTATGCTTGATAGACATATGCCTGCTCTCTCAAACTGGATCCCATTTAGAGACATCTGAGTTTCCAGGAAGCAGCGACAGACGGAGTGGCTGGGACACATCACAGGAAGAATGGGGCAGAAAGAAAAAAGAGGACATACAGGACAATGTGACATGTCTGTGCTTGAGAGGAGCCTGGGAATATACTGAATGGATGTGAGGTATCATTCATACAGAGGATCACATTGTGATGCCGAATGAATAGAAACGAAGGTAACTTCCCAGAGGGATTTTCTCTGCGCCATTTATGCTATAAGACCAATCATTTCTAGTCTTAAGTTCTTTCTTTTGCATTCAAATGTCCTATATATTAGATATGATTGTATATAGATTTACATACTGAAGAGATGCCTTTGTAGAAAAGAATGAACAGGTCAGCAGAGCTGAAATCAAAGACTAAATATGACAAGCAAACTCACTTCAGCTGATATGTAACAACAAAACTTGGATAAACAATGTCTCATCGGCTCTAGAATCCAGCTCACAAGTTACGCTCACTCTACTGAACAAGTCTTTTGTCAGTTCACCTACTTTTAGCTTAGCTGGCTTGCTGCTCTGGATTTCTGATCTCCAGATCTGACTTTCTGGTGTACTGGTCTGGCTTTCTGGTCTCCCAGCTACTTCCATTTGGCTTAATGGTATGGATTGGTCCTGTTTGTTTTACGTTTGTCTTTAGTTCATTGTATAGTTTAGCAGCCTTGATTCGGCTCACCTAACCCTTTGTTCTACAAGCTCCTCTTTGGTTACTTGGCACTTGAGAACAACCCAGCTGTCTCATTTGCGTATCTCACAGTCACCAGCCCTATTCCTGTCAGCACTGAGTACTGGGAGACCAGCCTGTCAGAGGAAAGGCCTGACAGGCACAAGACCTGACATCACACGCGTGTGTATGTGTGTGCATCACGGGACTTTGCATCCTAACTGGAGCATGCCAATGGCATCATATCTCTCACCGCACCACTCTGCTTCAGCCACATGGGGGCACCCTTTTCAGAACACAGTCCTAAACGTTCCTGTGTTATTCTCTCCTTCTCTCTCTCAGCTATAACAGATTAGATTCACTGTACATCATTGCTGCAATCTGTTCTACTAAAGTTGTATGCCATTGCTGATGTCTTGTAATATCTTTCCATAATAGGATCCTGATATTTCCTCCCCCTTCCTGGGGGGGAGGGGGGGGCTTGACTCATAGTATTTTGTATCAGAATGAGGTCCTGAAAAAATGAGTGTGCACCTGTGTCCTTAGTGGTCTTGAAATCATGCTCATGATTGATTTTTCACACTGATCTGAAGCTAAATGTGATCAAGGTGATACACTTGTGTGTTCTGAGAGTATATTCATGCTTTTCCAATGTTTCATGAGCAGTGCAACCCTTACAAATATTTGATTACTGCTCCTGGGGTGGCGAAATAATTCTGTGGATGTGCTGGCTCATTTCAACAAACTGGGTGTGTCTGCATCCAATTTACCAGCTTCAAAAAGCACTCCCCCCGTCCCTCTGCACCACAGCCCACTACTGCTCAATAGAAGCGTTTTAATTTAAACTCCCGCAGGAGAGTTAAGTGTTTGCTTAATTTCTTGCAAAAGAAACCTAAACCTATTTTCTTTTCCCTCAATTGAAACTATAAGAACTGATTGAATGGAGCTAATAGTAATTTTATTCCCTGACTAATCAAAGCACCAGGACTAAGTCCAAACATTTTTCACTTTACCTCTTTAGCAAATGGGAATGTGAGCAGAATTATCCATCTAATCTTGAATATCACACTCTAAGAAAATCATACAGTTTGCGTAAAGGACATGAACAGCTCCAAAGAATAACATGTTCTGCCACCGGACTGCTTCAGAATGATGTACGTAATAAAATCTCCCCGTTTTAATTCCCAAGGTTAAGAGTCACAATATGTCACGATTCTATAACCAAATACTCATGTATACACAAAAAAGTCAAGGAAGGGAATGTTTGTGTCATGACTTCAGGCATGAAGGACTCAAGGGCAGGAGTTGTAGCAAAACAAAAGGGGTTTATTCTGAACATAAAGGAACAGAGCATGGAAATGAACTGGACTGTGAACTGGGCTCAAATGAGGAGGACTGGAAATTAGGAATGGTACAGGGAATAGGAGGGTTTGACGTCAATGACTGGACTGGGGAACACAAGACTGGGAAGGACTAACGAGGGAGGTAACGAGAGGCAGCTGGGAGTGATTAATACGAGGGTTAGGAACCAGAGGTCAGACAAACAAGTGACAGGTGTGTTAGGGTCACGCCAGGGAGGAGACAGGACGGTCAGGTGGACATGGGGGGCAGGACGTGACAGTTTAGTGCTTTCTAGTGTTTCTGTTCTGTGCTGGATAAAATAAAGATAATTTTAATGCTATCAGTTTTAAAGCCTTTTCTTTCACTGCACTTTAATAAGCTGCTTATTATTATTACTCATATTGAAATCACGGTTCACGCCTCATTTTATGCCTCGCAACTATTCTCTGTATAATGATTATTTTATACCCATAGGCAACTTAAGAAATCTGCGTCTGCCCTGGAAGAAACAAGGATTGCGGTATGATTTGTCAAAAGTAAACCACACACTAAATTACATTATTTGGAAAATAATTCCTACAAGTTAACCCTTATGCAGGGTTATATGGACATCTGAGCGCAGTTACATGCACCTATTAAAACAGTTTTTCAAATTTCAACTATTTAATTAAGATACTTGATCTTACTGTTACAGCATTTTCAGGATAACATTTCAGAATGTGCATCTCCGTAAAACAAAAAGTAATTAATGAATGTACATTTTCACTTTTAATTGAATTCCATGTCTATTATTTTATTTTATTTTATTTGCACAGGTGCACTAGTGCTTTTAGTTTCCCATTCTGTCATTAACGGCTTTCGCACGACCCGTTAAGAAACTTTAGCTTCAGCACTTACCAAATGTCAAGCCAGCGGTTGCAGGAAGCCGTACTTTTATTCGACTGAAACGCTTCGAGATACATTAGCCCGTTTACAGTTATGCCTGCAGTTGAACACATTGTATTTTGAATGCCTGTGCGTTGCTGCCCCAAACACCAGTATTTAAGTGCATTTCTTACCCTCCACCTCGTCCTCCGGCAGATTAATGGGGGTCCGGTAGGAAAGGATGTCTGGAATAGTGCAAATCCCCCTGTACATTAAAGTCGAGGTCACGGGGTGCATCGGCATCTCTGCGAGCCCAAGCAATCACCCCTATCTTGATCTTCATATATCACCGTTTTCGGTGGCAGGTCGCAACTTTCCACCACTTTTTTATAAAAGGTTCTCCCGTTCTTGGTACGTACGTCTTCTTCTCCGGTTTATGTTCTTATCTTTTTCTTCGTGTGGATGGGAAAAACTGCAGCAGCCTCATTCAGGAAAACGGAGCGCAAATCCAGAAATTGCGGCCGTTGCAGCTCTTGTATTTCTGTTGCCGATGCACTTTAACAACAAAACCTCATTAAGGTTAATTGCTTCGTACGAGTTGATATTACGATGCAAACATATGGTACGACGACAAGGAATCCGGATGGTCTTTCAAAAACTACTTAGTAATCCTATCACACTTCCCCTGTGAGCGCCGCGCTTCCATTTAGTTGCATAATGACACCGGATGATCCAAACGCGTATACTGCCAAATGCTTTTAGGCTGTGTTAACAGCAAAAAGAGAAACGTTAAAATTTCACTTTTGGGTAAACATAGCCAAGACGTATCAATGTACATCCACATGCCATCTCTAGCTTCGATCCTTTTATTTGGGGGGGGGGGGGTGTTACCGATTGTATTAATTTTCTGCCTTACATTGAGTAAGGTGATCTCTTAGAGTCCGTTGCGAATTGAGGACAACGTTTTTGTTAAAGTTTTGCCGTTTAAATGCGCTGCCAGTTATATTTGGAAAAAATAAATATAAATACACAAAAATAAATCAAACAACGAAGCAGGACACAGATCAGTGCGGTCATATAACTTTTCCTCTTCCCTCTCTAATTTCGGTATATAAATGTGGCTCTTGTCTAGTCTTTAGAACCCCCTCCGAGGTGTTTATAGTAATTTGCGTTGAAGGTAAAGCCGGATTATTTGATCTTCTTCCTGTCGCAATTCCCCTTGATTCTTACTAGTGATCGGGCACCCTGCTCCTCCGCTGGCTCTTCCCAGAGATCCCTCATTCCTATTCCGCTCAATCCACGCCGCAGAGCCGCTTCTTACTCACACGGGTGTCCCCCTCTCTCACTCCCTCCCCACGATCCGAGCGAAGCCGGGTTAATCTCACACTGCACCTAACGGGTGACTCACTATTATAACACAGTAGAAATAAATACATTCATTTTGACACGCTGCCAAACATATCAAATCAAAAATTGCTAAATACCTGTCTCACTATGTTCAGGAATATACACGTATAGGACTTGTAACATGACTGCCATCCATTCCAGTTATTATGGAAAAATACCGTAGTGGTGCAACTGTCAGTGCATTTTTTCGTTGCCTGTAAATTGCCTACTTAGTGATCGCTCTGTGGATATAAAAACCAGATTTCCGCTGTCCGTGGTGCTGAAATGTATTAAAATCGAACTCATTACTCTACAGGATGACTATTCTTTACCCTACGTATAGGTACGAAGTAAAACCAATAAGAAACAGGGAATAACATGCAAGCTTTTAGGAAATGTCTTTTAATTTTACATAGTTAGTCATTAATATGAGAGATAACTATAGTGTATATTTTTGGAAGGCTGTGATCTTCTGCGTGACCATCAGGAGACAGCCACAGGTCTCCATCACATCCGAATGGATGACAGGCTGCCTGGTTGGTTCCCCTTCATCAGCCAGAGATAGATGCCCTTCAGAAGCTGCGTGGCTCTCTGGGGGCATCACCGGCTGACAGGAAGGGTGCCATACACCCAGCTGACTGACAGGCTTGAGAATGGCCTTTAATTTAATAACATTTATGCTGAGAAAAGGACCCACACAATACGGGATCAGTTTTCTGAGGAATATCAATGGTTACTTTACTCTTTTGTAGGAAATTCCCATATATTCTCTGGCCCGTTTCCCTGGCCAAATTGAATCAGAAGGATACATTTGAGCCTGAACAGTATGCCATTCTGGGGAGATTCATTCTGGTTTACTACAAGCCACCACTTGTAACACTGAAGATATACAGTACGAGACACAGAGCTGGGTTTGACCATATTTCCTCTTCCCCTAGCACGTCCTCAGAAACCTGACAGGTGAATCATGCCTGCAAGTTCCGGCTTTGTCTTCCTTGTTGTCAACATTGTTGTTCACTTGCTGAGTACTTTTTTCTCAAGAAAAATGTGGATTGATTGTTGTAAGCCTGTTGCCCTATGAGAAAAACAAGAATCAAGCGTCCCTGGAAGGGAAGGGGGGGCAGCCAGAAGGCAAAGCCAATCACTCTGCTCTATTCACAAATTCCTCTGAGTCCATTGGAAGTTTCTGAAGGTCAGCCTGGTTCTAGGGAATCTCCAGCCCTCACTACCACCCTGCAGGAGCCATTCATCTAAGAGCTCTCTGTTTTGTTCCTACAGATCTTTAGCAATCGAACGCACTGGCAGCCTATGACTCAGGAGAGTCAATGTCTCCGAACCATTTCTCTACCATGCACTGCTCCCACTAGATGGCAGTGTTCCAGTAGGGCACAACTCAAACACCTCTTCTTCCAATTTCAGGATGCATGTCTGTCTCTCAGTGTGTCTGAAAGTTGGGAGAAGCTCTCCCTTCCAGTGATTTAATACTGCATCTAACCACTTTGACTCCTTGGGGGCTTGACTCCTAGAGATGAAAAGCTCCTCTATTTCTGTTACTTCCTCTCCTCTGAAGGAAAGTATTTGTGACTTAATGTGTTTGGCTGGGCTTCACAGGGGCGAGACGTTTTTGTTCAAGCCACTGACCAGTTGTATCCAGATGCAAGACACTGATGTCTCTCTCAGAAAACAGTGTCATATTTTTTGATGTCAGGGTAGCACTGTAGCAATAAATAAATTATCAGACATGTACTGGGACACAAAGTCATCATTCATCTTTCCCAAAACAGAACTAAGATATAGCAGAAACCATGTTCTGTAAATAATGCCCCCAGAAGGACAGGAAAACTTTGGTCAAATTATTGAAATAAATTTTTTGAATCTTAATGTAAAATATATTGATTATTCATATATTTAAGCATTAATTAAAAATAGGCAACAAAACATATATGTATAACAACAAAGCACAATAACCAATGAAAGGCATCCATAACAATGAAACACCAATAATCAAAGTACAGGAAATGGCATCTGAATAATACGCGGAGAAATAGCCTTAAATCACATTTGGAGATGAAAATCAGATCATACACAGTATTAAACCGAAGACCCCAGTGTGTCACCTGCAATCAGCGCAGCTCTGTAGAGTGGCCATAAGCTCACATAGGTGAGAACCAGCCATGATGGGTCTATGATGAACATCTCCATTAATTGAGTCATATGTCTCCAATTTTATTTAGCTCTTTTAAAGTATAGAAGAAACGGGCAGCATTTGTAAGGACAGCAATGGTCACGTTTCCGCAGTGGCCCCCTGCTCATGCTTGTTTGGTGATTTATTGTTTTTCTGCACCACTTTAGCCTGTCTTTGGACGTTAGGCAGTGACTGGTCTTTGAGGGAAATTCATCTGCTTCGAAATCTGTGCAAATTGCATGGCAGTCATCAAATGATGGCCAGTATCTGGGGAAAGGCATATCTCAGAAAGATGAGCTTCTTCTTATGCTCAACAAGCCACAGAAAAGCACAGATGCATTGGAATGAGTAGAGGGACAGAGATGTAACCTGTTCAGTTGGATGAGAGCTATTTTGTGGCAACACTCTCACATGATGCAGGAAATACCCCCTTTGACCCTGAAAGGTCTGTTTCTGAGAAACCATTTTATTTCCTGCAGTGCAAAAAATTCACCAAACTGAATGTTAAACCAGACACAGTGTGAAAGTAGAGCATATATTTTTAGGTTTGTTTTTCCCCCCATAAAACACAAGCTTTTCTTACAAACATTCAAAGGAAATGATTATCTTAGCAGATTTCTTTGCTTCGCTGTGTTAGTCTGTTTCTGTTTCAGACCCATCGCTTTCTAGATCTTTCTGTCAGAAGCGGGGCCCCTTTGATCTGCTCGCGTGCCAGCCGCCATCCCGCGTGAACAAAGACCCGCCTGCTCAGAGCCGCACTTCCCAGCCCGCTGCCAAGGCTTTCATATCAGAGCCAGGCGGGAGCCCCCCCCCAGCACCCCCAACACCAACAAATCCAGATTTCCGGGGAAAAAGGCGGGGAACTGCACCATCCTCCGCTTTGATGAGGCATTCTCCCGATGCCCCCCCCAGGCCCCACCCCACTTCGCGCTTGCCACCAAGGCAGATCCTTAGCTGGGAGCTGTCTGGTGAAAGAGATGTAGGCACTATTCTGCCAGCAGATACTCCATCCCATAAATGAAACACATTGTGGCAGGATTTCACAGCAACTGTAGTAACAATGTAGCCCTTTACTGACTGGTAGCTGTTTTCTGAGTGTGGTGCTTCATATTTACTTTACATGTTAAATATAAAGAAATGCATCTTGGGACTGATGGATGGATGGATGCAAAAACAATACACTAAAAGGTATTTTTTAGTAGTTCATTCTTGAAGTTCCAGTATAGTTTTAATCCTGGCAAAAACATTCTTTAATTCTCTATTTAGTTTCAGGATTAGCATGAAGCAATAGAGAACTGGGGCAACACGCCCATAAGGTGCCAAACAGCCAATCACTGTAAGTCAATCACAGTCAGCCAATCACGCGGTCACCAGAGTGGCAGCTGTCGAATCCACGGCTTTCTGTCAGATTTACTCCAAAAGTTAGCGTGAGCCATGAGCTGCCCTGTGCAAAGCCTGGCCCTGTGCTACATTTTACAACATTTGAGAATATCAAGCCAAAAACATTGCCCTCAGTGACGTCTCACAGCGATGGCATGTGTACGAGAACAGAATTGGGGGGTGTAGTTCAAACATCGCTGACGTCCTTCATCCTTACCTTCCTAGATAACACAAGACTTCTGTTGCTAGCGAAGGTCAGACTTCAGGAATTTACGGTGTAGAATGTGGCTGTGGAGAAGAATTATGCATGGCGATCTGCTGGTGCTCGACATCTGCATTGAGTGTGTAAACAAGCGCACACTTAATCCTTTTCTCTTATGCATCTGCACACACCAGAGGATGGGCATCGACTTCCCCCGGAAAACTGGGATTCCTGTTCTTATTAAAATATCATAACTTGCCCACCTTTAACTCTTGGCATTTGCTGGGTGGTCAAAAGTAATGAAAAGTAATGAAGTCAAGCTGAAATATTTATGGCTCATTGAGAGGTTTGGCTGGCTGTAGTCAGTTCTGCTCAGAGCACAGGGATAACATCCGGAGTGCGTGAACTCTGGAAAGTGCTTCACATCATTCAGACGTTCTGGGTAAATAACACAGGACAGCGACGTAAATATGCAGCCCAAGCACGTGCCGAGCTCCGTGCGGAATCCGCAGGGGCGTTAGTCACATATTTCATCATGAACGAGACGTCCGAGGGGAGGTGTGTTTTAAATGAGTGCTTGACTTGCTTTCCCACATGGTGTGATTAAATGCTAGGTTTCCGCAGATAAGAGACGGCTGCTCACTTACGGCCAGGCTAAATCAGGAGGCCTCC